CGTCACTTCTGAGCGGCGCATGCGCAAAGCCGACCTCCATACGTCATCCGCCCGGAACCGCTTCCGTTTACAACAGTGAGCGCAAGCTAGATTAAATAGATTAATACGTTTTGAATATGGATATTTTTCTTACAAAAATGCATCGATTCGCTACAGGAGGCCTTTGCTCACCCCCGGGAGCCGTGTGAGACACTTTTTTTTTTTATGGATGGGCGCTTTTTATTTCACTTCTTTGGGACTGATGCACTGAAACACCCGCAGACTGCAATGATAGAGCTTGGAATAGCCAGGGCAATTTTTAATATAACTCCGACTGGATTCGTCTGAAAGAAGAAAGTCATATACACCTAGGATGCCTCGGGGGTGAGTAAAACACAGCCTAATTTTCATTTTTGGGTGAACTAACCCTTTAAGAGCGCGTATCGCGAATCTTTTCTGATTTCTTTTTTTATTGAACAGTGCAAAACAAACCAAGGCAGTACAGTTATAAAACAAAAGAAAGAAAAAAGAAAGAGAGATATACGCACAGATACAAATGTGTTTCCAGGTTGTTTTTTTAAGTAATAAACGTACACCTTGAGACACAAATAGATAACCTACAGCTCTGACTGCTTTAGGATTAACAGAGCTTTGGATAGTTTTCATATACTTGTCTAGATCAGCTAAATGAAACAATCTGACCAAAATTTTTGTGTGGGTACATTGCCAAAACAAGTGAATGACATCTTCCTCAGAAGAGTGACAAAAACGAAGTGATGTGTGAGGGTTTATTGGTAAAAATATTGCACAAAGAATAAACAATAGCAGCCTACACGAATATAAACCTTTTCTGTAGTTTAGAGGACACTTAATTATAATCTCTTACAAGATTATTAGTCACAATTTACAGTATTTCTAACAGTAAAGTTCATGTCTGTCAGGAACAGTGTTGTTTTTTTAAGTAATAAACGTACACCTTGAGACACAAATAGATAACCTACAGCTCTGACTGCTTTAGGATTAACAGAGCTTTGGATAGTTTTCATATACTTGTCTAGATCAGCTAAATGAAACAATCTGACCAAAATTTTTGTGTGGGTACATTGCCAAAACAAGTGAATGACATCTTCCTCAGAAGAGTGACAAAAACGAAGTGATGTGTGAGGGTTTATTGGTAAAAATATTGCACAAAGAATAAACAGTAGCAGCCTACACGAACATAAACCTTTTCTGTAGTTTAGAGGACACTTAATTATAATCTCTTACAAGATTATTAGTCACAATTTACAGTATTTCTAGCAGTAAAGTTCATGTCTGTCAGGAACAGTAGTGTATTATAGTGCACAAAACAAGGGCTAGGCTTACTATGGTGGTGGGAAAAGGCGTTAAATAAGTTGTATCTGTTTTATTATGACAAAAATATATAATGGATAAACATACAATAACAATTTCTGCATTAGAAAAATAATCATTCACTCTAGTTAAATTACCAAAAAAACAACAACTATTGAAAAAATTAAGAAAAGCTGGAATCTTATTTCTTACATAATCTATAGTAATTACAGCTTACAGTGAAGCAAAAAAAAACTGTAACAGTGTATATAATGGATAAACATACAATAACAATTTCTGCATTAGAAAAATAATCATTCACTCTAGTTAAATTACCAAAAAAACAACAACTATTGAAAAAATAAAGAAAAGCTGGAATCTTATTTCTTACATAATCTATAGTAATTACAGCTTACAGTGAAGCAAAAAAAACTGTAACAGTGTTTTTTTTTACACACTACAGTACACATTATTGCACATTACAAACTAGCCATTACAAACAAAATGCATCACATGGTATATGTACAAAACTCCCAATACTCCTTACACAAGTGTCCAATAACACGGACCCCTGCTCCAAATGTTTAATACAGAGAGATTAATTGACCTTGATAATGCAAATCCGTTTCCTCAAGGGAAAATACAAAGTCTGAGGTTCAGCACCTAACATGTAACGTTTCTGCTTTTACAGGGATACTGTGTCATTTGCGAGTGTGTGACAGGCTGGATTTGTTCTCTGCATGTGTGTGTGTGTTTGCTGGTTTGGAGGCACTCCCCTAAACTTCAATATTTCAGAACAGTGCGGGCCGGTGGCCAGCTGTTTTGCCAACAGTCTTGAGCAGGACAGAGCAGCAGGATCTGCCCACGGAAAGCAGCCAGGGGCTGAGTGAAAGGTCACAGATCTGTAGCAAGCATGAGAAATAAGGGCATTTAGCATTTTCATGTCAACATACATTTATAATATGCAGTGGAAAATTTAAGCAGTCATATTTACCTGTCAAAATCATGCAATGCCAAAGCAGCCAATCACATGACAGAGCAAACGCCAGTCTGCAGGTTCTGCCCGTTATGATTGGAGCGTCTTTTTGCGTACCTGAAGAATTTTAAGTAATTAATTAGAGCATGTATGGAAAGAAAATCAATACTTAATTGATCAAATCAAATCCTGTCCCACATTTTTCCTGTTTTACTTAAAAATATGCAGATTAGGGAAGTAAGTATTAGGCGGGGGAGTGTATATTTTTTATTTCTATTTAGCTTTAATTTATTTTTATTTCAGGTTTAGTTTTAGCAATTTTGGTACTTAACCTTAAAAAACTTTTAAAGTAGTTTCACCAACTAAGTGAAATACCTTTAAATTCATCTAAAATTGTAATTCATTTTATTTCGGCGTTATTACCTAAAACAATTTTGAAAAGTTTATGTTTCAGTTAACAATAACAACACTGAAAATAAGAGCAGCAGGATCTGCCCACGGAAAGCAGCCAGGGGCTGAGTGAAAGGTCACAGATCTGTAGCAAGCATGAGAAATAAGGGCATTTAGCATTTTCATGTCAACATACATTTATAATATGCAGTGGAAAATTTAAGCAGTCATATTTACCTGTCAAAATCATGCAATGCCAAAGCAGCCAATCACATGACAGAGCAAACGCCAGTCTGCAGGTTCTGCCCGTTACGATTGGAGCGTCTTTTTGCGTACCTGAAGAATTTTAAGTAATTAATTAGAGCATGTATGGAAAGAAAATCAATACTTAATTGATAAAATCAAATCCTGTCCGACATTTTTCCTGTTTTACTTAAAAATATGCAGATTAGGGAAGTAAAATAGGCTGTTCTTTTGTTACTATTTACTAAAATTTTGAGTTTTTAGCTTTCCTTTTAATTTTAGTATAAGTTTTAGTAATTTTGTTATGTGCTTTTGTCATATATTTCTTTTCAAATATTTCTTTTTGGTTTTAATTTATTTTTATTTCAGTTTTAGTTTTAGTACTTAAGCTTATTTCAGTTAGTTGCCAAGGCAACACTTCTCATTTTTGTTTAAGTTTTTTTTAAGCTCATCTAATATTTGTATTTTATTCTGGCTTTATTTCAACTAATGATTAAAAAAGTTTTAGTTAACAATAACAACAATGAAAAAATGGTTATGTGCTTTTGTCATTTTTGTTTTTATTTTTTTGGTGGTGGGGGGAGGGGGGGTATATTTTTTATTTCTATTTAGCTTTAATTTATTTTTATTTCAGGTTTAGTTTTAGCAATTTTGGTACTTAACCTTAAAAAACGTTTAAAGTAGTTTCACCGACTAAGTGAAATACCTTTAAATTCATCTAAAAATTGTAATTCATTTTATTTCGGCGTTATTACCTAAAACAATTTTGAAAAGTTTACGTTTCAGTTAACAATAACAACACTGAAAATAGGTTTTAAATAGCACATTAACTGTAAACTGTTTTTGGTGAACTAAAACACTCACGTTGTCCACTAATAATGTTAGTTGAGGTTTCTTGCACCAAAAACATCATAATTCAGTCTTACATCACCATTTTCCACCTTCTCTCTAACAAGACTTTCTGCTACTGTCCCTTTAAGATGTAAATCACCTCTATCATGATTGGCTAGCCTTCTCGAATGTGAAATGAGTAACAAGGTCACTGCTAAGTAGCTGGAAACTGTTCTTAGTTGGTCTCCCAGACAGGTCAGACTGGTCTATTGGCTAGTTTTACAGCATCTTGGCCAGATTGGAAGACCAGTTTAAACCAGCTAAGACCAGCAAACCAGCTTAGGCTGTTTTAAGCATTTTCTTTCTTTCTTTTTTTTTTCAGAAGGTATGTAAATGTACAAGGTCATATATGTTAATGCTGTCATAACTGTGACCTTATAAAAATGGTGGCTTCCGTAAAACACATTTTCACAGCTTAATTATCAAACTTAGAGTTTTAGTTCAAATGATCAAACAAAGGTCATGTTTTCCATAATTTACACACAAATACATACCCATTTAGGTCCGCTGGCTGCGAGTGATACACATGTTTGCTCTTCTCTGCAATGGTGAGGGTCCCGACATGGGTGGTCTCGCTGTGACTGACCCGGACCGGGTGATACTGACTCTTTGACTCGGTGGAGCCGGAGGGCACGCTCATCTGATTGCTGGGAACGTTGCCGTTTGGTTCTGGGGTCTCAGCGAACAGCTTCTTGCGCACGGATTCAGGTGTGGATGTTGTGATGACCTTGATCTCAGGCACAGGTGTCTGTTTCAGACGGAGACAGGCCTCAGAGTGGGCCAGCTGCAGTTTCTTCATGTGGTGAATGGCCACTGTAGCGTTGAAGGCTTGCTGGAGTGACGAGATCATGATTTCAGACAGTCAGTAGAGCGCAGGAAACATCTAAACAAGCTAACGGTTTCAGTTTAGCACCTAATATTTATAGTGAACCATGAAGTCAAATTAAAAACTACCAATGCATTTTAATGGTGCACAAAAATCGAAATGTTTGGCTATGTAAGCAAAGTATGCAAATTTCACTGTTTGAATAAAATACCTACTTTTGCCCTAATTTGCAGCATACAAACAGAGCTTACTGCATTGTCTCTCATAATGCAGTGCACTAAGCTTGATCTTCAATTACCAGTTTTACAATGAAATGAAATAAGTAGTGATTTTTTTCATATTCAGTATATACTGCACAGTATGCACTTAGCAGTGTGCTAATAATCGATCCGTTCCAAATATAATGGCTATTAAAAATATTTATAAATGTTATGCAATATGCGCTGCTGTTCAAATATTTGGACTTAGTAAGAATTTTAATGTTTTTGAAAAAAAGTCTCATGCTCAAAAGGTGACTTTATATGAAATACAGTAAAAATACAGTAAAACTGTAATATTGTGAAATATTATTACAAATTAAAATGACTGTTTTTATATTAATATATTGAAAAATGTAATTTATTCCTGTAACGTAAAGCTGAATTTTCAGCATCATTACTCCAGTCTTCAGTGTCACATGATCCTTCAGAAATCATTCTGATATGCTGGTTTGCTGCTCAAGAAACATTTCTGATTATTATCAATGTTGAAAACGACTGCTTTTTTTGTTTAGAATATTTTTGGAGAAACTGTGATGCTATTTTTTTTTCAGGATTTTTGATGAATAGAAAGATTAAAATAACATTGGTTTGAAAAACTGTAACATTTTAAATGTCTTTACTGTCACTTTTGATCAATTTAATTGAGGGTTGCAGAAAAAAAAAGTATTAATTTCTTTAAAAACAATTAAATTGGTAATGTACACAGTGAATTATTTTTTTCAAAATTGCATGTGAAAGAGAAAGCATAAATGTTTTAAGAGTATGCTTTTATTGTCACATGACCACATCAAGTTGCATGTTTAATTAAAAAAGCAGCATGTTTGAAATAAAAACACTCCAAAGAGAAAGGAAAACTTGAAATCGCATCATATGACCCCTTTAATTTATTTTTGTGTTCGAATGTGTTAAGATTTGGTAGCTTATATCACTTTTGGTTGTAGTAGTAGAAGTTCAAACTGAGTGTGTTGCATTGCATTGATGTGCCACATCACAAGTTCACATTCTCTGGAAAAATGTCAGAGTTTGAGTTAATTTCCTCTCAACATGGTAGCCACCATAAGAAGGAGACCCATTTTATGTAAAATAAATCTGGCAGCTGATTTGATTAGGAGAAAATACTTTAGCGCTGCTTTAAATGTCTCAAAACTGGTCTGTTCCAGATAGTCACACAGATGGAGCAATTATAGGCAAGACGGGTGACCAAATCAGCCACTCGTATTTAAAGCTGAATTGTGTAATCAGTCTGAAAAAGCCAACTGAGACTAAACCACAGGAGACACACTCTAACCCGAGAATGCACAGAGTTATGAAACATGACCTTACCTTCCACTTGGACTTGGCAAAGTTCTTCTGGATCTGCTCGCTGACGGAGTGGTAGATGTCCTGACTCCGGGCCGTCTTTCCTATAATCCTGCAGGACAAAGCTGGATTTAAAACCAGAGCTGGTGGAAAACAGAAGGATTTTGTTTCCTGTTTTAACCAATCCCTAAGACAGAAATAAGTTTAGTTTGATCTAAACAGTTCTTGACTGTGGGAATCTCTGGTTGTTTCTCCTGCACAGCAATGAGATTAAATGAAGAACAAATGGAGACTTTTGCTTAAGTCTGAGAAAGAAAAAAAAGACCCACATAACCTCATATGCATGCATCTCATCTAAAGTTTCAGAAGAGATCTCAACATTGTCTCAGACTGTGCTCAGATTCGTAAAGTCTGGGATATGAACTCAGTGTCTCTCATTAAATTAAGACTGAATTATGAGTGTTATTTTAGTATTATTTTTATACTATTATAGTATTAATATTGAATATGCTTTTATTCGTTTCATTTCTCATTTTAATTTAAGTTTTAGTCATTTTGTCTTTTTTTTCAGATTTACTGTTTTTCCTGTTTTTTTTTTTTTTATATATATATATTTATTTTGCTTTATCTTTTCATTTCGGCTTTAGTAATTTTAATCCGTTCCAAATATAATGGCTATTAAAAATATTTATAAATGTTATGCAATATGCGCTGCTGTTCAAATATTTGGGCTTAGTAAGAATTTTTATGTTTTTGAAAAAAAGTATCTTACTCTCACCAAAGGTGCCTTCATATGATCAAAAATACAGTAAAACTGTAATATTGTGAACTATTATTACAAATTAAAATAACTGTTTTTATATGAATATATTGTAAAATGTAATTTATTTCTTTGATGCAAAGCTGAATTTTCAGCATCATTACTCCAGTCTTCAGTGTCACATGATCCTTCAGAAACCATTCTAATGCTGATTTACTGCTCAAGAAACATTTCTGATTATTATCAATGCTTTTTTGTTTAGAATATTTTTGGAGAAACTGTGATACAATTTTTTCAGGATTTTTGATGAATAGAAAGTCTCTCTTAATGTGTCTCATTAAATTAAGACTGAATTATGAGTTTTGTTTTAGTATTATTTTTATACTATTATAGTATTAATATTGAATATGCTTTTATTTGTTTCATTTCTCATTTTAATTTAAGTTTTAGTCATTTTGTCTTTTTTTTCAGTTTTACTAGTTTTCCTGTTTTTTTTTTTATATATATATATTTTTATTTAGCTTTATCTTTTTATTTCGGCTTTAGCAATTTTAGTACTAGAACTTCAGCTTATTTTATTTCAGTTAGTTGCAAATGCAACATTTTTAATTTTAGTTTAAGTTTTCCATCTAATATAAATTTTTAATTTTATTTCTGCTTCATTTCAATTACCAAAAATATTTTAAATTATTTTAAGTTTAAACTAAATGTTTTCATCTAATATTTATATTTTATTTCATTTTATTTTTGCTTCATTTCAATTACTGAAAATAATTGTTACAAATTTTAAGGCTTATTAAGTTTTTTGTTTCATCTCATATTTATATTTTATTTTTTTCTGCTTCATTTCAATCACAATTTTTTTTTAATAATTGTAATTTTTTAAGCTTACATTTTTCATCTCATATTTGTATTGTATTTTATTTCTGCTTCATTTCAATTACCGATATTTATATTGTATTTAATTTCTGCTTTATTTCAATTACCAAATATTATTTTTTTATATTTTTTATCTAATATTTATATTTTATTTCATTTTATTTTTGCTTCATTTCAATTACTGAAAATAATTGTTACAAATTTTAAGGCTTATTAAGTTTTTTGTTTCATCTCATATTTATATTTTATTTTTTTCTGCTTCATTTCAATCACAATTTTTTTTTAATAATTGTAATTTTTTAAGCTTACATTTTTCATCTCATATTTGTATTGTATTTTATTTCTGCTTCATTTCAATTACCGATATTTATATTGTATTTAATTTCTGCTTTATTTCAATTACCAAATATTATTTTTTTATATTTTTTATCTAATATTTATATTTTATTTCATTTTATTTTTGCTTCATTTCAATTACTGAAAATAATTGTTACAAATTTTAAGGCTTATTAAGTTTTTTGTTTCATCTCATATTTATATTTTATTTTTTTCTGCTTCATTTCAATCACAATTTTTTTTTAATAATTGTAATTTTTTAAGCTTACATTTTTCATCTCATATTTGTATTGTATTTTATTTCTGCTTCATTTCAATTACCGATATTTATATTGTATTTAATTTCTGCTTCATTTCAATTACCAAATATTATTTTTTGATATTTTTTATCTAATATTTATATTTTATTTCTGCTTAATTTTCTGACCGAAAGTTACGTTTAATAGTTTTAGTTAGCAATAATGACATTGCAAATGATCTGTGCTATACGATCCATAATTTTATAGCTTTATACTCATACTCTGTATCAACAATGTCTCATTTGTGTTGTATTTCTGACATGTCTGATACATAAATGAAACAACAGAGATCTCAACTAAGGCTCATAAGATTTAAAGAGCACTAAATCTGTCCTGCGGTCACTCACCAGGGGTGTCTGAGAGCCTGTTCTGTGTCATAACGCATCTTAGGATTCTTCTGCATCATGTTGAGGATGAAGTCCTTTGCTAGAGAGATAATAAAGATGCATGAGGTTAAAGGCTTCTGGTTACAGCAGTGTTTTACAGAATCACATGAGATGATTTAGCAGTAGGGAAGTATAGGATGCTAACCAGACTCAGAGATATCATCCCAGAAGGGCGAGTCAAACTCATACTGCGCCTTCATGATTTTAGAAAACAGACGAGTCTCGGTTTCTTCATAGAAAGGAGGATATCCACAGAGACTGTAAAGATACAGCAAAGTAAATAAATGCAAACTTCCAGCAGGGGGCGCCGTGTATCTCAGAGACAGACATGGTTCGCTCTCTGTGTGGAGTTAACCAGCACAGCTAAAGGTCTTTGGTGAACCAGTGACTCACTCTGATTTAAACTGATAATCTGTCAGTTTTGACAAACACAAGCATTAGGTTTCTAAATTAATTAAGAACTAGGCATCCGTTTATCACTCTCTGTAAATAGCAGCGCTGTTTAAAGTCCAACTCACTTGTGGAGCAAATATAGTACACAAATCAGTTTCTTAGAAATGACATCTCTACTAGGAATGACTTACAGGATGTAGGTGATGACTCCAATAGACCAGCAGTCAACGGCTTTGCTGTAAGGTTTCTGGGCCAATACTTCAGGGGCTGTGAGGAAATACAGATTATTAGAAACAACATGGTTTTAAATAGACCTTGTTTATTGTCTTAAATGTCCTTGGATTTATTGTGCAAGATCATAAGTGCATGTTATTTGCAAAAAAAAAAAAAAAAGTTGGGTTTTTAATCAGTGTTGTTGTTGTTAACTACAAATAAAACTATTAAAAATAATTTTTTGTTCACTGAAGTAAAGCTGATATATATATATATATATATATATATATATTTCAATCAAAAAGCAGCTGTGTATGCGGCCTTTCAGATTTACAGATGTGTCTCTTGTGCTTTGACATTCACTGGCTGTTTAAAACACCCATTTATTTGACATCATTCCTACCAACATATCCTGGAGTCCCGCAGGCCGTGGACATGATGCCATTATCCTCCATCTTAGACAGGCCAAAATCACTGATCATGATCTTGGAGTTTTCATCAGGGCTGTAGTAGAGCAGATTCTCTGGCTGTAGAGAGAGTACAGATGCAGGAAGTCAATGTTTTGTGGGTTTAAGTCGACATCTGTTGCTATCGTCCATACTGATACATGCGTATGTTTGTGTGAATGCGGCGTCTCTGTACCTTGAGGTCGCGGTGGACTACGCCGCTTTTGTGCAGGTAGCTGACTGCCTCCAGCACCTGTCTGATGACCAGACTAGCATCGGCCTCTGAAAACATGCCCCGGTCCAGGATCCGGTCGAACAGTTCACCACCTGAAACGCTGATGGGATATGAGCAATGTAACAACATGCTATAAAGACACATGAGGTTTAAAGTAACAGGGGTTTCAGCGGGTGTCAATACAAACAGAGGTGCTTACAGCTGCATGACCAGGTAGTAATGCGTCCGACTTTCATAGAAATCCTCCAAGCAAACCACATTGTCATGTTTGATCCTATATGACAACAGATTAATAAGTTAGAAGATGGTTATGTCGATTTAACATCGGATAAATTATGTTGTACATGCATTTTCAATGTCCTTGGATCTGATTTTATTCTCAATCTCTGTTTCCTTCCGAACTGTAATTCCTATTTGAATTTCAATGTGTAGTACTTTTCACAACAGCTATAACAGTATTGTGTTTAAAACTTAAAGAAACAGTTCACCCAAAAATGAAAATTTGCTTAAAATGCACTCACTCTCAAGCCATCCAAGATGTAGAGGAGTTTGTTTCTTAACAGGAACAGATTTGGAAAAAATGTAGCATTACATATTTTGCTCATCAATGGATGCTCTGCAGTGAATGGGTGCCGTCAGATTTGAGAGTCTAAACAGCTGATAAAAACATCACAATAATCCACACCACTCCAGCCCATCAATTAATCCCTTGTGAAGTGAAAAGCTGCATGTTTTAAGAAACAAAACCATCATTAAGATGTTGATTCAGACCAGATGACTTTTTCACTGGAGAAAGCATTATTATGGATAGAGCACTTTTTGGCCAGAAGCGACAGTTTGAAGTTAAAAACGTCTTAATGATGGTTTTGTTTCTTACAAACACGCAGCTTTTCGCTTCACAAGACGTTAACTGATGGACTGGAGTCATGTGGATTACTTTGTGTAGATTATTGTGATGTTTTTATCAGCTGTTTGGACTCTCATTCTGACGGCACCCATTCACTGCAGAGGGTGAGGGTAAATTTCTCCCAATCTGTTCTGATAAAGAAACAAACTCGTCTATATCTCAGATCGTCTGAGGGTGTGTAAACTTTCAGCAACTTCACATTTTCTACTCCTTTAAGATTTTTACATCACAGCTAGTGTTGGTTTAATTCAGTCTTACTTTCTCAACACAGCGATTTCGTTCTCCAGGTTGACGTCCCTTTTGTTTTTCTTCTTCACACACTTCAGTGCAAAATGCTTCCCTGTTTTTCTCTCCTTCACCATGAAGACCTCTGAGAACGCTCCCCTGGAGAAAGCAAAGACAGAAAAATGAGGTAAGGTCAAATGTGCAATTACCTGGGATTATGTTTTTCTCGATCTGAGAGAGGGCATGATCCTGGTTTATGTGATGCCGGTGTGGCACTTCTTCCCCCTGAGAGCAAAGCAGGTTTTAATGAAGGTGAGGATGTGACCTTTGAAACCCTGCCGAGATAATAATCTCTGTTTAATAACAGCTAGAAGTGCTTGTAGCGTTGCCAGCATGTGAAAGTGGCCAGGGCTCTGGGGAGATCTGGTATGAAGTAATGTGTGAAGCAATTACTATTAGTGAAATTGATTTGATCGGACATGAGGGTGGACACTTTTGAATTAGGACAGCAAGAAAATGCCCAGCAATGTAATTTTAGTATTATTTATATGCCATTGTAGTATTTATTTATTTATTATCAGCTTTTAATTTTACATTTTCAGGTTTCATTTTAGTTTTAGTTCAATTTTTAGTCATTTCTTACTTAAAGGTGCTGTATGTAAGTTTTTGACTCTACTAAAGCATAAAAATACCATAATATGTTTGCAGATATTTAAGAAACATGCTAAGTTAACATACTTGTTTATCTGAAAAACAATGCTACAGTCAGTTATTCTCCTTTGAAAATGTGCGTTCCGGGCCGGAATGTCGGTCTCTGTTTTGGTTTGTGAAACCCGCCCACTGCCAGTTTACCCAATTGTATTTCGGGACCCCGGGTTGCCAGTTGGCGGAAAACACAGCGTATTTCATTTCATTCATTGTCAAGTGCGCTCGTTCCTGTTGGTGTCGTCAATCTGGCAAACTGCGTGTGCTTCAAGTCTGAGGAGGAGGGGCCGGGTGAAAAAAAACCCCTCTCCTATTTTGAATTTGGACTGCAATACCTAGTTCAACCACTCTGTGTCAATCCTACATACAG